CATTTCAAAGCTTCAAACTCATTACCATACTATTTTCATCTCATACAATTTCTTTTTCCTAAAACCAAATGATGTTAACATTGTGTCTATGTGTCTGTTCCTTTTTTTTGTCAGGGGATGGGATGGGAGAATCAAGATAAATTGAATCATACAATATCATACCTTGAAATAGCCTTTCTTGCTTCAACAGAGTCTACAATAATACCTTCAAAACTGCAAGAAAGAATATACCATGAGCCATTTGTACTGGCTATAAATAGTACGTAAAACCAAACATGCCTACAAGAGCAATAGATCAGAGAGTGGAAACAAAATAAAATAATATGAATATTATCCAGCCATAAAATGATACCTCAAAAAAAAGGAAAAAAAAAAAACAGACATACAATTGGAAAAGAGAGAAAAAAGTTGGCGGCTACAACTTTTTTCTTAAGAATAGCATGAATGCAGGCCAAAGAGAACCAGATAAAAGATCAATTACATATAGAACCTACAGTGACCAATCAACATGACCAGTTCTATCAGGACTTAGAATGGAAACTTGGCCTCCTATTTGCTCCCACAGAGAACGCACTTGGCCATCCTCTACTGCATATATCTGTAGAATAATCACAGTAATAGCACATAAGCTTGGAACAACCATCTGTGAGAATGTTGATGTTGTATGCAAAGGAAGTAACCTTCCTAATATATTGATTAAGCACATTATATATTTTTACATGATTTTGAGGGAGTTCCCTTCTTAGTGCCTACAACATTGATTTGTTGGCATAGAAATGCTTATGAATGGTCTACATAGGAAATGAGCACTTAAAGGAGCATTTAGTACTGTGACAATAAGGTATTAGATTGAGCACATAATTGTAGAACCAAACCCACCTTAAGCACATAGCCTAGCCCCTGAAGATTCTTCATAACAGTAAACAGCAACAACGAGGATGGGCTCTTTTCCATGTTTCCTAAGATCTGAGGTTCAAAGCAACAAAATACTATCAAAATGCAATTATTTGTTCAAAACATAAATGCAAAGATGTTCTGTGCAAAACACTACAATGGATGCAATGTAGTCAACCCTGCACCGACGGATGGCACTGACACAAAAAAATGGTGCATTATAGTTATGTCAATTTGATCTCAAAATTACTTTCTGAACTTTCACTTTTACAGAAGAGAAAGAGAGAATGCTTCTCCTTATAGAAGCTTTTAATATATGAAATAAGAATACAAAGTAAACAGTTTTAGACTGCCTACTATCCACATGCACACCCAAAATTCAAATGTGATTCTTAAAAATCCATTAGTGCTGGAAACCGAAATATCTGAGGCAGATATCTCATAACTCTCTACTGAACAGCTGGAAACTTATTTAATCCATAGCCAAAAGTGTAACTGCAATAAGCATTGTTCTGGATAGATGCTACAAAGTACGATAACCAAAAACTAAAAGGCAGTAGCTCATGCAATCAGAATTTCACAATGGCAGATATTGAAAGCATGGAATCTAGCCATATAACCCCTCTGCACTGCATACATAGAATGTGATCATAGGATCTTCAAGACTAGCTTATCCAATAGGTTCTGCCACATTGAGTCCATCGAGAACTCTATTCATCCCTAACGTTACATCAATAGCGTGACACCAAGAGCTGCTCAATTATGTGAAACTAAAATCAAACAAAGTATCGAACAAAGGATGTAAACTTTTAGGCAGTGTCATAAGCAAAGAAAGAATAAGAATTATAAGATACACTCACAATCGCCAATCTAGGTGGACGAACGGCAAGTCTAGTCTCCAACCGCAACCGATTAAGACCGCCATGTTTCTCAAATCTATCCAACAGTTTCTTCGGCACGAATTTCAAAGAAGTTCCAAATTTCAGCGCCTTCCGAAATGACCCCCCGCTATCTCCACCCGGCCTAAAAACCGAAGCTATCGAACTCTGCAACACTAACGACCCCACAATGAACAAAGCAATAGCGAAAAAAACCGCACCGTATAACAAATACGTTCCTTTAAATGGGAATCCCTTGCGAACGCCTCGATTAGGATGAGCTCGAGAACGCCATTGCCGATCCGAGCGACGATCTCTCTCATCTCCCTCTTCGGCAAGATTTCTCTGGCCCTCTGGAAGAGAACTCCGCTTGAACCGAAGCCTGTCGCGGATCGAACGGAATCCTAGGCCCCCAATTTCTTCCGCCGGAGATAGAATCTCCGCACTCGAGCTTCTCCCCATCTCGCCTTCCTCTTCCGAACGAACAACAAACTCAAGAGAAGCTTCTGTTAATGGCGGGAGAGGCGTACGTTAGATACGGAGAGCCACGATGACCGCTCTTCGAACAGTGAGTTCTGTAGCAGAGTGGAGATCGTCGACATGAGTGTATGAACCAATCAACCTGACTCCTCCCGGTATCACCTCTACTGCTAACTCTCCTCTCCATTATAATAAAGGTCTTAACCGACTTCTTAATTACTATTTTACCTTTAACTATTGTCAAACAGTGCAAGGGTATTGACGTCATTTGGTGATGGCTACAGTGGGATGTGAGACGACGGTGGTCTGTCGAGTCACGAGTGACATCAACGCGGGATGTTTGAAGATGGTCATGTGAAAATGGAATTTGTAATTTACTACCGGCCAGGGCTTCAATTCAACCCGTCCGGTGACTCGACGGGCCGAGCCGCCGGTTCTTCGAGCATGATTTGGTCAAGCTTTCCAAATTCAGACTATTCAGTAACGATTTTTTTTTTACTATTCAGTAACGTTTTTTTTTTTTTGACTATTCAGTAACGATTAACGAACACGGAACAGCGATTGTGGAATTTTGAAATTCAGTCGTTCAAGATGCTGGAAATATTTCTTATTTTAAAAAACAAGAAAATGAAGCCGTCAAAAATAAACAATTCAGATCTGCTCCTCACGCCGACCTTACGGGCATATCCCACCGTGTATAGAAAACATCTTGTGTTATTATTCATATTTTCAATGCATGGGGGGAAATGATTGTGAGTTCATTGTGAGGTGTATTCTATAAGGAGCATGGTATTTAAAATTGACACGGTGATTGAACTGGTCAGGGGTCTGATTATCGTGCCGAATGGCCGTTCGACCTGAATGGTTGGCCCATTTTAACAAAAAAATTAAAAAATTGAAAAATGATTAAAACCATTCAAACAGTTAATTGGCCGATTCAATAGTTTGCTAACTAAAATCAACAGTTTTGAAGAAAAAAATGATTTTGGAGAAAAATTGAACTGATCAAATGACCAATTCCTAGTTTTTCCGATCCAACTTTCCAATTCGATCCGGTTTTAAAAGCCATGATAAGGAGTAAATCCAATTCTAAAATAAAGCGTATGATCGTATTGAAATATTTTTTTGGTTCAAGATTTGACTCTTGTTAATCATTGCTTGGTTTCTTTGTTGAGAATTCTAGTTAATGGCACCCGTAATAAGGATTTTAATCCAAGTAGAGGACCTCTCCATACCTCTTTATTATTTAATTGGGGTTGCTTATTGTTGATGGCACCCCTAATAAGCATTTGGCGTTTCTTATTTGAATGACTTATCTCCTTTTTGCAATTAAAATGCCTCTATGAATACTGAGTTTTTAACTGCAAGAAAGAGATAAATATTTAAAATAAGGAATGCCAAATGCAGCCTAAATGAGGTTGTCAGGACAGAAGATCTCAATGGTGCCCTCAAGGTTTAAAGTTTCAATATTATACGCCCGATATGGGGCGTATTGTATCGTATCTTTGAAAAATAGATATGGGATATGCATGGAAATCGAATGATTCATTTTTTTTTATTCATATCGGACCCATATCAGGGGCATATTGGAGCGTATCGAGGGTGTATTAGTAGCATATTGACGAAAAAGATATGGCCGAAAACTTAGAAAAGGGGGAGGGGGAGAAAGCAAGCTTCTTTTCTTCGAAATAAGCCTTATTTCACCCCCAAATAACTCTAAAACTCTAAACTTCATTCCTATAGTGCTAGATTTGTAAAAGTTTGCATGAAACAAGTGTGAATTGATAGCTTCTTTTTTAAGATTTTTTTTAAATTTTGAAAAAATATGGCAAAATAGGTATTTTTTTTCAAAATTTTATAATATATTGTGATTTCTTTTTTTCTTGAATGTTTAAATTTATGTTGATCTACATTTCTTACATTCAAAATCACAATTTTTTGTGTTATTAGTATATTTATGGAAATTTCATGAAGATATTTGGGGAAAATATAAACTAACAAAAAATTTGGAAATGTATTTTTTTTCTCTACCTATAAAGACTAAATATATTTAAGATCTATGGATATTTTTTATTTTTTATATTTTTATAATTGAAAATAAACAATAATTAATTATATTATATCATTTGATCACAATAGTTGAATATATTATAATTCTATGGATGATCTATCATGTCCATTGACCAATTGAAATTTTTTCTTTGATAATTATTTTTTATTTTTATATTTTTAGAATTAAAAAAATAAATAAATATATTTTATCATTCCATCACAAATGATTGAATATATTATAATCCTATGGATGATCTATCATATCCACAGAGCAATTGAAATTTCTTCTTTAATAACTATTTTTTGAATATATTATATAATGTTTTTTTATAATTTTTGGAAATAAATAATAAATAATTATTAATTATATTTTCAGATAGAAGTTGTGCCAGTGCATATTTTATGGTTGGATAGGAGAGTTTGATTTTTCCCATCCCATAAAACATTAAAACTTAATAATTATAATTTATAAATTATAGTTAAGCATAGGATTTTTAATGACATTATAATTAACTACAATATATTTCTTCATAAAACTATTAAAATATATTAATTTAATGTATATACACCTCATTGAAGTCTTATATTTAGTGTTGTTGATGTATTTTTATGACTTGTTAAAGTATTTATAGTATTTTCAAGCATATCTATGTGTATTTTAGTTTTTCTCTAATATGCATGTGCATCCCGATAAGTCTCTTAAAATTGCCTTTTTCAATACACTTGGCGTTTCTAATACTTAAAACCTTGGGTGCCCCTAATCAGACTTAACCACCTTTTTTTTGGGATGACATGTTGATCTTTGGGGAAGCATCCTTGGCTAAAGCTCAAAATCTCTAATCCAATATTGAGCTCTTCTTTTAGGTGGTTAGGAAAATGGTGGATTTCAATAAATCCTTTATATTTTTTTAGTAAGAATACTTCCATGGGCTCAAAATCAATCACATATTATGAATCTTTTGGGAGTGGCTTGAGATGAAGAAGGATGATTAGTATCTTGGAGGGCCACTTCTTTATTCTACTAAGGGGGGCGTTCTTTTTTTGTTTTTTGAAATGGGGAAAATTGGACAATGGGATTTTGGTTTCCATTGACCAAGAAATTCATGTTTTTTTTTTTTAGATTTATGTGGGGGTCAAGGAAATTTTATTTTCCTAGGTATCCATCTCCTAGTTGGGTAAATAACTTTTCCATACGGGAGGAAAATTGTCAACACGTGAATAGGACAAAAATACTCCTTTTAATAATAGATTTTTGTGGCTAAAACGGTCTTTGCCTTATTTACCTGGAAAACAAAAGAGCATGGGTAAATGCACTTACTTGGGTTAGTGTCTCCTAGAAAACACTTACCCAAGTAAGTGCATTTTACCTGAATAAATAACTTACCGAAAAGCAAACGGGGCCTAAGAAACAAGCGTCATGAAGATTCATTGTTGACAAGGTAAAATCAAATCTCAAAGAGTGGAAGTCAGGGATCTTTTCCCATGCTCGAAAAGCTATGCTTATTAAATCCATACTTGTTTCCTTGCCTCTTTACCACATGGCTGCATACTGTATTCCAAATTGAATCTGTAGAGAGATTTGAACTCTATATGTAGAGATTACTACTGGTGGAGCAAATATTTAGGGAAAAATCTATTTATCTAAAAGCGTTGAGCTCCTTCTTGTTACCCTTGGAGAGAAGAGGCCTTGATTTAGCCTAGTGAATAAAACCTCACTAATGAAGTTGACTTAGCATTTCTTAGCTGAGAAAGAGGCTTTGTAGGTTAAAAATTTAAAATTATAAAGGAGAAGTACCTCAACTCCGCATTGGTGAGGGATCATCTTCAAACTTACCTTCACTATTTTCGAAAACTTCATTTAGAAAATGAGAAAGTTACATGCGCATCTGTAATGGAGTTGTAGTATAGATTTAGCTGCCCTTTGCAAGCTAAATAAGCAAAAAGATGTGTATTCTAAATCTCATAGCTTTGGAAAATACCCCCTTAGTAGGTATTTGGTGGTGGTGCTATTGTAGTTTGTTTTTATAAACGAGCCACATTAATGCCCTGTAAGTATGGTGCTTAATCACTTACTTTTCTTGTTTGGCTGAGGCTCGGATTAATAACACCAAAATAAAGCTTCTTACAAATGAAACCAATGTTTTTTCTTTTTTTTTTTAATTATGTTTTTTATTATTTTATTTTGGGGGATAAGCATACTGTCCTCCCTTTCAAAAATTTGAAATTGCAGTCACCTTTTAGTCTACTAGTAACCCCTCCTATAAACCGCATCCTACTCATAGATTTGGCATCAATCCACATCAGGATTCAGTCCACCCCTAGAGTTGAGCTATGATTTCTAGGGGTGGATTGAACACTTAAAACCCCTATTTTTTTGTTTACGTGACACTTAATGTACAGATGGATTAGTATTTTATAGCCCAATTCATATCAGCTTAGCCGACTCAGGATCAAATCCCAAATGGATCAGTTGGTACGGTTGTTAGCTTGTTCCACAGACTCGGGATTGAATCCCACTAGCATTGGGTTTGTTTGATGAAATTCGATCATTATTAGTTTATTACTTAAGAAAAGGTCTAAATACATAAGAAAACATAAAAACCAATTTGTCCAATAACAGACTAACAAATCAAAAGAAAAAAAAAAAAAAAAAGATGTAGATCAGAACAAGCCAAGCTACGAATCTAGTCTAGACAATTAGTAACAAAATGACTTTAACAGCTATTCGCACAAAAACTCTGCATGCATTCTAAAAGCATTGGCATCTATTTACACATTGATAGCATATATGTGATTTACACATATGTAAAGGAGATATTTCCAATATAGGAATAAAACTAAAAAAGAATCCAAACCCTTCTTTGCCCGCGCATGAGCAATTGAATTGAGACCTCTGTTAACAAAACACAAGGACACTTACAAAGATGATGCCAGGTGTAGACTGTCCTCTAAGAGAATATCTCTCCACAAGAAAAGAAAAGAAAATCATACCATTGCGGCGCAAAACCCAATTATCGAACATGTGGGGTCAGTCCAATGTCCCTCTTCTAAGTTCTACCATAAGATTTTACATCCTTTTGGACGAACTTGGATTTCACATCCATCAA